TATATATATATATATATATATATATATATATATATATATATATATATATATATATATATATATATAGATTCCAGCAGTGAGGGAATGCAAGTTGCGGTAGCTACTGAGTTGAGGTAATTTTGTGTTTATATTTGAATAAAACCCCAAAACATTTGAAATTTATGAATATTTATATTCTTATTAAATTTAATTTGGTGCTGTTTATGGTGAGTTTCAGCTGCTGCTGCGGCACCGACTTGGTTGCATTGAGCATGCGAAAGAAAGGAGCGAAAATATCTTTGTCTCTGCGGCTGTTTTTTAATCCTTTCCAAATCCATTCTGGATAATCATCAGCAAAAGGATTTCCGAAACGGATCCGACGAAATATATCATTCACATTTCTGCTGCTGCTGCTGGTGTTTCCCGGGGGGGCTGCTGAGGCTAGAGAAAGCCGAGAAAGACGAAAAAAAAGAACCATCGTTGATCTCGGTCTCTTTAGATTCAAAATTAAAAAATAATTTCAACCATGAATTCCGTTTTTCTTTTTTTTGCAGCTTTCTTCTGCTTTCCAGCATCGACAGAAACCACGCAATCTCAGGTGTACATACACCCCGAGAACGCCGCCGCCGTTGTGCTTGCATGCGTGGCGGTAGTAAGGCGTTTTTAGCTCGAATATTTATCTTTAGAGCTCGTTTTTTCCCAAATTTAATTAATTTAGTTATTTTAATTAATTCAATATATTCGGTTCTTCAAAAGAATCCTCTTTTCCGCCGCAAAACACATACAGCAACAGCCCACAGGACTCGCCGTTGGAATCGCTGCGTGTTTCAGCCGTTAACCGCTCTGCAGAGAAAATAAAAATTAATTTGTTTATTTCTCAGTTTCATAAACAATGCAATTTAAAGTGTGTGGAAGCCGAGCAGGTAGACGCTAAAACCCAAACCCTAAACCCTCCCCTTCTCCTGCAGCAGCGTACAAGCTGCACAGTGCGGTGTATAGGGAGCTGCTGCTGTGTTTGAGGGTTTAGGGTTTATTCAATCCAGAGGAATAAGTATATAATAAATATATGGGTTCAAGGATACGAATAAACTATACAAAGGCATTTCTGCTGCCGCTAACCCCTTAGTCTGTCCGCCCCACTATGCAGTGCTTCCCTTCTACGTTTAGCAGCAGCAACAAACTCTACGTCTGCATATATCTATTCTTTTATCCTGCTGCTGCTGCTGCTGGCATAGCTACTGCTGCTGCTGCTAATGCTACAGCTACTGCTGCTGCTGCTGCTGCTGATTCCTTCTGCAGTAAATGCTGCGGTGTACATACACCTGGAGACAGTCGACACCGCAATTTATATTTCCACCCCGCACAATATAATTTTATGTAAACAACTGTG